CTGTTTCCTATTCACAAGGCCAAAAGACGTGCTGCTCTATGTTAAAATGGGAATACCAGGAGAGAGGTCTTACTACCCTTCAGAGGAACTGGTTTGGAATGCGACCCACGATTCCTCGCCTCGCTCTTTACGCACTTGTCTGGCTGCACGCTATGGCCTCTCTCCAGACTCTCTGCTGTTGGCCAAACACCAGCCAGACAAACACATCTGGGAGGAAATCTCCAACTGGGTACGATTAGATGAGGGAAGGTTCTTGAGTAGGAACCTGGTTGGGGGTGATACTGTATATACTTGCACTCTCTTGCATGCACTATTTTGTGCATGAAATTAGATTTGGCCTTCACTAAGTAGTTTGTCTTTAACTCTTAGACCCAACAGGTCTCCAAAAAGAAGAAGAAGAAAAAAACAGAATCACTCCTGGGAACACCGTTCCACCTCAAAGATGGTGACACAATTGGCGTCAAGGTAAATGCCTGTTTAATAAACTCTGTTCTGCTTTGGTTTCAGAGACACTCAGTCTGTTTTCCATACTTTTTTCAGAATCTTTTGATTGACAACAACAGGAACTTTATCACTCTGGAAGACGAGCAGGGCCAGCAGAGGCTCAGAGAGGAGGCTGAGGAACGCAGGAAAGGGTGAGAGCCCTTGGATACATGTAACAGCAGGGAAAATGCTTCTTATTTAATGAGAAATTAATATTAGTGTTTTCACTCAGTCATTTTACAGCAATGATGCAATCCATAAAGACTGTGTCCATTGGTGTTTGTTATGTTTTATGTTATTTGTGACTCTTGCTTACTTTCAGAGGGCAGGCTGCAGGCGCTGGTGAATCACTTAAGAAAGCTGGACAGACCAAATCCAGGAAACCAGAGGTGGCACTCTCAATCAGTGTTGGGGAATTCAGATAGCGTCCTTCTTCCATTTGTATAGATCACAATGAACTGTGATACTACATGCACACACTGTGAGATGCCACATTGCAATTCAGACATCTGACATCAGTCTTGTGCAATTTGTTTTTCGAGTACTGTTTGCATAGTGACTTTCTCCACAAATCTCTTAAATCAAACCCTAAACCGCTTCCTACTTCTCAACTTTCTGACGGACAAAGAGAAGGAATTTATTTTTGGCACTTTGATTTGCTGTTTTGTTATAACTGACTTTGATTTGCATCGTTCCTATGCAACATTTCTGTTTTGAATGGATTATCCATATTTGTCTTGATTCCTCCCTCTACAGACTTTCAAAATATGATAAATCAGTCTGCTTTCTGGTTTGTTTGTTTTTTTTGTTTGTTTGTTTTTTGGTGTGCGGATCATATTTTATATTCTGACACTCTTGGTTTCTCAAAGGCAAATTGTTGAGTGTTTTGTCCACTCAGGATTGGCAGTTATGAACTGACACATGTGCTTACTGGAACTCCTGTTAATTATGAGCCAGTACAGCCAGTACAGGTCAAAATTTATACCCAAGCCACATGCCAGTGATCAATATTCTGGTATTCTTCAATAAATTGTTCTGAGTGACCAGCCAGTGCAGTAGGCAATTGCCTTCAATATGTTCTAATGTTCTTTAATAGGGAACTTGTTGTATAGAAAGTGACTACTTTTTATAACTAACCTGTCACTGTGCAGCACGAGCAAAAATGTTTCTCTGGATCAGCCGCTGTATTGATTTTAGGTTGATAAAGGAGAGGAGAGACAGGCCTTAATGTGGAGAAGCCTTAGTGCTGCTCTGTCCTCCCTACCTCACGCTGCCTCTCTCTCTCTCTACCTCTTCTGCCCTGTCATTTCTTTTTCTGGTTTTCATAGTTTTATTTCCTTTTATTTCCTCCATTGCTGTAAAGTACCATTAAGTATTTAGGCAATAACGCATTGGTAAAAGTTTTGACTCTGTGCCCTTAACACTGAGTGTGACATGATGCATCTAATTAAGTATAATGGGAAAATAAATAATATTTGAAACATTATCCAGACTTTTGTAGGTGAAGATTAAAGTAGGATGATCTTCCTTTTACCTTTTTATTTCACATTCAGATTAGCTGTATAGAGCAGAAACACATACTGCTGAACTGTTCTTCTTGAGTGTGTAGAAGTAAAGACCCATGAAGCGTCTTTGTGGAACATTAATTGTTTTAGTTGCTTGCAATATTTGTGAACTTCAGGGAATTTAAAAAATGACTCTTTAGATAAGTTATTTGAAAGAAGCGACAAATAATTACATTGTTGAATGAAATATGATGGGGATTTAATTTTCACACAAAAGATTTTTTTAAGCTGCTTCGTTCATTAATCTGGCCTTGACCGGTGCCAAGATTTTTCAAGTAGAAATGTTTTTGTTCTTTTTTTTAAAAGAAATTATTTGAAGCAGATAATAAAACTGTTCTACAATATACTCAGCAATAGATGGACTTCTTTTTGTATAATGTGGTATCGTTTACTAGTGTTAATGATTACATCTTTGGTGTCATTGATAAGGACTGATCTACTGTATTGTAAGAGTGGACAACTGTTTGTACTCATGTCGGACTGTATTTGCAGAAAGTATTTTATGAACAATAAAGGTATACAATCATAATTACCAGTCATGTTAATGACAAATAACTACTATTACATCAGTAATCTGTTAGTTTAAAACTGATTCTTATGGATTCCTTTTCTAAAAAATATTTAGTAAATCTTACATCTGGCGCAAACATTAAAGGGCCACTGAGTATAATTAGGATTTCCTACTAATTAATTAGGATTAACCAGATAATTCTCCATTTTTGAAACATGGTATAAATAATATTTATTAAATACACTTTGGTTTTTATCCATTATGTCCCAAAATGAGTGACAGATTTGATAAAATTAGCGGGAAAGTGTTTACAGACGTTAAGTCAGAAAGCTGGTTTCCCAAAAACTTCTGGACCGAAAGTCTTTTTACAAGCAAATCTATCACCATCTGGTGGCCTTCAGATAGAAGGGCAGGTTTAAGGTACATTGACATTAGCTTCTTTTTTCCGATCTGGATGCTACGTCCATGCTTTACACTGTAGGTCTGTGTCCTGCAGAATAGTTCCTATGGATTTATCCAGTGGGATAACAAAGGATAAACCCTAGTGCTTTGAGGATCCTGTGACTTTTACAACAAGTAGCTATTGCAGGGTCATCATCACCACAGGCTGTGGGAGATTATGTCTAATTGTTTTTAAACTAAATTTAGTTATAAACCAAAATCTAAAAAGTTGAGGTATTTAAATACCTGCAGCCTCAGCCGCTAGGCACAAAAAGACAGATATGAACAACAACCAAAGTACTCATTCACAGTTTACTACAAAACCGCTGATGCCGGTCTGGTTCTTTATTTCTGTCTATGCAATATCTACAGTTTGTCTTTATGTAATAACATTTTTCTACATGTTCTCACATTTTACGACATATTTACATAAATAGTGCATATTCTGGACAGAGGATGCAGACTATAAAGAGGGTTTGTATGATAAAGGAGGATAGGGATGATCTGCTATGACAAAAGGGAGCAGCTGAAATGGGAAATTATTATATTTATATATATTTCAACATCCGAGAGTCCCTGGTTAAAATCTCTTTGTAGTTTATGTAAAAATCCGCTATATTAGCTAAACTACCCGCTGTGACAACCCTGCCGCCCTTCCAAGATTTTTTGAGCGTCCCACCGAGACATTAAGAGCGCGTTCCATTTTGACCAATCACAGTCTTCAAGTGTTCGGGAAGATCCAATCAGGATTTCGCGCCACTGCTTACGTAACCACTCTCCGTTATCGTATTCATAAGAGGGGCGGGCCCGCTTTTGCGGCTCCAGGATTTAATCCACGGAAATAAGAGACACTCTGACAGTGTGACACAGAAGTGGACCAACAACATCTGCAAAAATGGTTGAGGCTTTCTGCGCTACATGGAAACTGGTCGACAGCCAGAACTTTGATGACTACATGAAGGCACTCGGTGAGCAAAAAAACGCCTGTTGTACAGTTACCGTGATTTTTTTAAATTTTTTTTTACATTTATTAAATATTTAAACTTTTATTTTAAACTTTTACTTTATTTAAACTTTTTTTTGACAGGCGTTGGCTTTGCCACGAGACAAGTGGGTAATGTCACCAAACCAACTGTAGTGATCAGCCAGGATGGAGACAAGGTGGTGGTGAAAACTCAGAGCACCTTCAGGAACACTGAGCTCTCTGCCAAGCTGGGAGAGGAGTTTGATGAGACCACGCCTGATGACCGGCATGTCAAAGTAAGATGAGTAAAACTTGAGGGTGTGATCACTGATGATTTCCTTCTGCTGGTCCGAAATAAAAAATAAAAATAAAAAAAAGTTCTTTTTTTTTCTGCTCGTAGTCGACCTTCTCCATGGATGGAGATACATTTGTGCATGTGCAGAAGTGGGATGGCAAAGAGACCAAGTTTGTCAGAGAAATCAAGGATGGGAAGATGGTGATGGTAAGACCGCCTGTTCTGCTGGGATTACATCAGTTTTTAAGAGGCCTTTGAAAGCATCTTGTTCTGCAGGGACACCTTGTCTTTGCATATATGCAGCAACTCATAACATATGACTGCAACAGACTGAAATACTTGCTGAATAATCAGGTGATAATGTTAACTGCCAGTCTGTCTAAAACAGATTTTCTTTTTTCTTCTGCCTCCAGACATTAACCTTTGAAGGAGTCCAGGCTGTCCGCACGTATGAGAAAGCCTAATTTTCAACATCTACTTGAAAGAGCAAATCATTCCAGCTATAAGGAAATGTTGTTTTCCTTATTATTATTATTATTTTTTAAGTAAAAAAAGTGTTTTGACATTTTGCTGTGATTTGCACTTGTTTGAACATGAGATAAATATTTTGTAAGATCTTTTGTGAAGGCCTCAACAAAAGGGAAAATAAACTTCTGGGCTAAACTTTCTCAATGTCTCAAAGGTTCATCAGAAACAGGACAGACTACTCACTTTATTTACGGCATTTTTCCTTTGAATGCAATTCCACATTTCTGCTCATATATGTCGTGGGAACAGTCCCCGTCAGAGTCTGTTACAGGTGACAGCTGCAGGGTGACGGTGCAGGCTTGAGCCGACCATGCAGCACCAGCAGCCAGTCTGACCATTGAAATTGCTGTGTGAATGCCCTTTAGTAACCCCCAGATGGTCAGAGATGGCGAGAAGCTAGGGGGAGGGTGGGGGTGGTGATGTCACTCGTCTCAAGATAATCCGGTTAAAGTTGTGGTGTCATTACGTAGAAGCATCATTCGATGCTGTGCGGACCAACCGTGACTAAATGCTGCCACTGGTGTGATGATAAGACAGGACACCACGCAGGATGTAGACAGTTTGGATGCAATAGTCACTCTAGTGTTAGAGTTTGCCAGCAAACCTTTGTCCAGCTGTGGGTTTTTATATCTCTAATATAAATATTATTTAACACTGTTTTAGTTCCTACATTTTAAGATGCTAAAGCCTCCCTTTTTCAGCTCTGTGCTGTGTCCAGCCTACTGAACACTGACTACATGTGGCCATTCTTCTCATCTCAACACACACGCTGTTCAGTTTCTGGCCACCTTTGAATAGGCCGTAACACAAAGAAGCTGTGGTAACTGGAGTGGAACTCATTTAGCAGTGGCCAGATGAATTAATTTAAAGTCTGTCTTTATGCTCCAGTTATACAACACTGAAAAGCATTTAGGCTGCATGCAGTGAGAAGACAAGCTCACGGGGAGTTACTTTCTCAATATTTCACAGTGGCATAATCACATAGAAAAGGGAGATTATCGCATTCTGTGTAGCAGAAACAAAGACAGATAATAGTTAAGCGTCTTCTGTCTGCAGTGTTTGCTGTACTCTGGGAGAGCAGCGGGAGTTTCCTCTTTGTGAGGAATCTGTGTCAGTGGTGTAAGCTGACCTGTAGTAACCCCTCCCTGGCCTTATTAGGGAAATAGAGTATAAAGACCTGACCATCTACTGTATATCCTCTTTGGTTCAGTTGTCTAACTGCTACAATCTTTCACTTAAACACACTGATCAGGAGTGTAGCTACCATTGAGAACACAGGCAAGACCCTGAGGTAATAAATATAATTTGTGAGGCTTAATAACATAAAGGTTAGCCTTGTATTAATGGGTTTTAATCAAATTTCACTACATTTCACATTAATAATCATTGAAATTCAGGTGAAAAGTCAGTTTTTATTAATAAGTTTAAGTAGATTAACACTTGTTTTATGCAAATGGCTTAAAACTACACTTTTTCTTTACTGCTGATGCTAAAAACGTCTATAATCAGGTTAGAGGTTAGGTTGGGGATTAGCCGGATGACAATGTTTTGCCATCAACTCTCTGAAATCACATGGTCAGTCCTGCAGGGAATTCATCATGCCGGGATCAGTGGGTTTAACAGGGAAGTACATGTGAGTATCAGCAGCACAAAAATGAAAAGAAACACCACGATGTCCCGTCTCGCTAATGCTTTTCATTGGTCGTGCGTTTAGTCTCCCGGTGAATTTGATCTCTGCTTGGTTGTTTTTCTGGACCTTTCCTTTCTCTCCTACATGTCAGATACAGTTGCCCGATCCTGAAATGACCCCTAGTTTCTTACAGGAAAAAATAAAATTGCTCCCAGAGATGACCCCTACTGCACAACAGACACCTCTCTTCATACTTATCTCGATTTGAGGTGAAATACTGAAATACTTTCACATTTAGATAGTTAAAAAAAAACTTCATGCATTAAACATAAAGTATACAGTATAAAAACGACGTCAGCCCATTTTTGTGTTAGAAATGTTGGTATGCTTAAAGAAAAGTCAAAACACTTGCATTGCTATGTTTTAATGCCTAATTGTTCTATTCACAAGGGATTAAGTGACAAATGATACACGTTGTGGTTTTTACTGAAGATGAAGAGCTGCTTCAGGAATAATGAATCAGGGATAAAACAATCAGTTTTTCTGTATATTTAACTATTTACATCAAGAGCATTTTAACACAGTGTGTATGTCAGCGACACCATACAGTGACACTGGCACACATCATCAAATTCACTGATTCCTGTCTTCAAGTGTTCACGCTATTAGGGAACCACATAAAAATATAAGAGCATAAAACAAAGGCACACACATCATGCATACTTCATTAAAAGACTATTAGACTAACATAATGCGCTTTGATCGCTGATCTAAGTATTGCACATGTTCACCTGGTAAACGTGAGTCATTAATATACAGTTTAAACAAGTTTATTTATCTTTTGGTACCATAAATAATAATAATGACAATAATCTAAATTGTTTTGTAAAAAGTGTCCAAAACTTCATCAGTTCATGAATCGCTATTAAACTCTGAGCTCACTGAGAGCTGCAGAGTGTGAGCTTTCATTATTCCTAGACTGACAAAGTGTGCACTGGTATCATTTTAAAAGATAAGCAGATTTATATATAAGCTTCAGGATTAGCGACACAGGATGTAGAAAACTGCTCTCTGTGCAACATATGGAGCAAATGCAACAATGTAGCCATACGTAGCTGCTAAAAGCAGACTGAGAAATGTTTTACATCTGAGATCACCTGTCCAAACATGTGACACCTTCTGCAGCGACTTATAATGTGATCACACGGTGTGCCGGTGCAATCAACAATGTAAAATTTGACATTAGACTCAGCCAACATTGCTTTTGTGTTCATCAGACATGATCAAGTAAAGGATATTCAGATAACAGAAATCCTGTTTGTATTATGCTGCATTTTAGCAGCATGAATCTGAGATATCATTATACAGTTGTCATTAATATTATCTTAATGTTGCCATAGCATATTTAGGCAATATTGATTGCATTCTTGTTTAAAGGAACCTGCTCATTAGGTTTCTACAGTACGTTAGCTTCTACTGTGTGCACACAGTGCAACAGCAGTGACCAAAGTCAGCTACAGTGTGATTTTGGTCAATCAACGAATTTGCAGAATAAATCTGACACTTGATTTGCTGATGTTTTTGATAGATTGAAAGGAACAAAAAAAACTGAACTCAATCCTCATTCTGAGATTTTAGGCAATGCCTCTTACTAGCACCAATATAATAACGAGGAGCTGGTGCAGATATCCAGATGGTACAGTTTGATAAGACTTTAAATGTTTCAGGTAGCAAGATTGGGAGCTCTCATATACAGTGCATGGTCATTCCTTTTGATGCATAAAACAAAAATAAAAGGTAAAAAAGTCATTCAGTAATGATATGATATCTGTTGTGTCCCCATTTGGGAAGAACAATAGGAAACTGAGAATGAATCATGAACAAGTGCTATAAAGGGTGGGATGAGCAACATGATCAAGAAAGACGCCACAGAGATGTACAATTACAACGCAAACCACTGTTCAAGTAAATGTGGGCTAAGAAGGTCTGTCTTGGAGTAGCAACTGTGGCAGTTTTGTACCCTGTTAACCTCACAGTGTAAACTACTCTACACTTTGTAGCTACTTTAAAAATACTGCACCATTTTCTGGACCTTTTATGAGAAAACAAAGTAAGCTGTAAATATATTAAAGGGTTTGAATCCATAGAAGTGAAATAGTAAATTGCTCTATTTAAAATATGCAAAAGAAATTATTACTTAAAAAAATATTAAAAAAAGAAAAGAAAAGAAAAGGAATGACACTGACTGCATGTATTTGGTATGAGAGCTCAACCAATTCTGGAAAGAGAAAAATAACGGTCCATCTCATAACCTGTCGTCTTCTGCTGTGCAGAGATTTCTGCTGAAGGCGAACAGCATCACCCGTGTTTCGACAGTACAGGGTGTGAAGTGACCTCGTCCTTATCGGTAATTTGACTAAATTGTAAATGTCAGACCACAGACTGACGTGTCAAATCTGCAGCGGCGAGAAGGCGTAAAACGGAAACTGGGCCTCGTCCTCATCCACAAAGAAACACTGGAAGTAGGGCAGCTCATCTGTAAAGAGGTAAAACAGCGAAGAACAGTATGTTCCTTCCCTTTCCTTTAGCATTTGGAGAGAAAAGTGCCTGAAATTTGCGCGCTCTGCAACATTTTGTTCTAAAAATCTGCACGTACCTTCCATGAGAAAGCTATCCGATAGAGACGGCTCCACTGTTAAAATATGAACATAATGTTAACTACAAATCAATAAAGTGTTATATGACTCTAAATTACAGGATCAACGTGATACCTTTAACTTTCTCCTCCTTATCAGCTTTCTTCTCAGCAGTTTTTCCTGCAAACGTTTTGCACACAGTCAATAAAAGCTATAATGTAGTTTTTTTTTTGAATACTCAGAAATGAAGGGCGTCACAAACAAACCTTTCTTTGCAGGCTCTTGTATCTCTTTGAGAACCCTGTCCTCTGTAAAAGGCAGCAAGACATAAAAAAGTCAAACAGTTTTTCTCAAGTGTTTAATTTGAATGTATTTGACATAAAAATTTATTATTACATGAATAATTTAAATGTGTTTTCTCTCAAAAAGAAAACACAACATTTTTCTTTTTTAAAAGGAAAATGTTTGTGAATTTTGTGTAAAAATATTTCGCTTGAGAAACATCTGAATATTAAGATAGTCGCGGATTATTTTCACCCTGTTCACTAATTAATCAAACAGCAGTTTCAACTCAGTAATAGTGACTGTGTGTTCTACATTTATTTTAGTTTCTCCAAGCTGACTGCATACCTTTCTTTGTTGCAATGGACTTTATCTTTTCTTTTAAAACACGAGGCTCTGTTTCACAAATGTGAAGCAAACACAAACAGGCATGAAATACACAACATTTATGCATAAAAATTACTGGAGGGAAGAAAAAGGTGAAGCTTTAAAATAAGTGATTTGAAAATTTCAGTAAAGGGTAGAGGGCTCTTTTTTTGCAGATGTAATGCAACTGAATGACTTAAAAACGCTTATGAAAAGCAAATGCGCAGAATGAAAAGTGATGCCCAGTAAGCTCAGAGAAAAATGTTAAATGAAGAACCACTTTCTAATAAAGTAACCTTTAAGATTTATAATGTGCTACTGCTTGGTATATACACTCTCACTTCATTAGGTACATCCGTCCAGCTGCTCATTAAAGCAAATATCTAATCATCCAATCACAAGGCAGCAATTTAGACATGTAGGCAGATAACCTTCTGGAGTTCAAACCAGGACCAGAATGGAGAAGAATGGGCTGCTGCTTGTGTAATCGTATTGGAGATATTTTCACTTTAGTACCAACTGGACATTGCCTAAATGGCACAGCCTACCTAAGTATTGTTACTGACCATGTCTATCTCTTTATGACCACCGTCTGCCCATCTTCTTATGGCTACTTCCAGCAGGTCAACTTGCCATGTTACAAAGCTCAGATCTTGACAATGCGTTCACTGTACTCAAACGGCCACCATAACCACCAGATCTCAATCCAATAAACAACTTTCAGGATAGTGGAATGGGAGATTTAAATCATTGATGTACAGCTGACAAAACTGCAGCAACTGTTATGCTAACACGTCAACCAAAATCTTTGAGGAGTGTTTCCAGCACCTTACTGAGTCTGGGGCTGCACTTAAGTGGAGCTTAATATGGTACTGGCAAAGTGTATCTAATAAAGTGTCTGGTGACAGCATATATTTAAAAAAACAACAACAACAACTTGGGAGCGCTAGGTTGTGAAAACGTGGCTTTTTAAATTCGCAATTAATTAAAAAAAGAGCCACGTGTGATATAGATGAAAATCTGCTTGGTTTTATAGTTTAACTACAGATTTTGATAACGTTTTGTCAACTGTCATAACAGAATTATAACGAAATACATCAACAGCCAGATTTCTCAGACTCTGTGTTCTCCAAGCACAGCTCATAAATCATTTTTAAAGAAATTATTTAGAAAATATTTATTCATGATTACGTTAGTAGTTACAACCTATAAATCCTTTATGTATGAGGCCTTATTAGAAAGTGGCAGTACATTCTCAGATTTGTGCTAATTACCTGCATGCATGCTTTGTGTAAAAATTACTGCGAAGCATTTTTTTTTTTTTTACATCAACCTATAAATATTTTATTGATGGCAGATTAACTAACTTTGAGATTATTTCCTTGCTGGCCATTCAGTTGCCTATAATCTTTGCTAATTTAGGATTTTCATTTGAAGCTCTTTACTTAGATGTCTGGTTGACTATTTCACACCCAGCAAAGAAAATCTTCTCAACTATCAGCAGCAGCGTGTTTAACGGTTACTTAATTTTTATAAGCAAACTAGCTGTTTCCCCTCTAAGTTACTTATCTACATTTAGAGGGGCCTTCATGTTGTAATCAGATTACCACTGATGGTTACATGAAGTATGAAGTGCTGCCTGCACCGAAGCACCACATGTACCTTTCTTCACGTGGGCTGGTTTGGTCTTTTCCTTCAACATGGCTGTGCCATCGGGGACAAAAATGCAATCGATAAATCATACAGTTGGAAGTATTTTAGTGTATTTAAGACATCAGAAAATCTCAAATTTGTGACAGTATCCTGACATTATACGTAGCCGTAAAGCCCTGTACCCACAGTGTCATAAATAAAGTGTAAAACTTTGCACTGTACCTTTCTTTGCTGCAGCAGGCCTGGCCTTTTCTTTAGGTGTTTCCAGTTCTGTAAAAGAACAACTTTGGTCAGATTTTAGCAATCAACCTGAAGAATTTTACTGCAGAAGCCACAATTAGCTTACTTTTAAACAATACTTATAGCAGCTCAAACCACTTTCTGCAGTGTGAAAGCTTCAATTATTTTTTTTAAATTACTGATTTAGTCCATTCTACAAACAGCCAGAACACATTTTTAGTTTGTTTTGTCATCTTTTCAGATATGAAATAGGCCTATTATGTAATTTTAATTATACAAAACATTCCTTTTCCTTAGTAGAAACTACTTTTCTTTGGTTTGCTTCTGACTTTGTGCAGTATTTGGGGGTCCATGTGGCTGCGATAGAGCCAACGATCTGTTTTTGCACATTAAATCAAATCCACTGGTAGATTTCTTCTATAGAGGATTCCTAGATAAGTCTTTGCTCAGTCTTTAAAGAACAAAACAATGATTCTACTTGTTGCCCATAACACCAAAGAGTTTTATAAATTACCTTTTTTTACAGCTGGTTTTGATTTTACCTCTGGTACTTTTGGCTCTGAGTAATAAAACAAAAAGGTATGATATGTAAAGATAATCAGTGTTTATCTACACCATTATCATTATTTTGTGATAGTTTTCTAATGGTACTACATAATAAAAAGCATCTACATGCAGATGACAATGGCAGTCTACCTTTTGTCTTTAGAAGGGATTTAATCTTTTCCTTCTTTGCTTCGACCTCTGCTTTAGGAGCTGTAAAACAGGGGAAAATAACATTTTCAACTTTTTTTAAAGAACTACTTAAACAGTATAGAGTGTGTATGATCTATAACAGAAATAGAATATGAATAAAAAAGTATAGATTGCCTATCTTGTGACTATTTAAAGAGTTTAAATCGAACATATACCTTTCTTTTCAAGAGCTGGTTTCAGTTTTTCCTTTGTAACCTCTGGCTCTGATAAAAAAAAAGCATGAAAGTGTTAATAATAATTCACTTTAATAAATAATAACCATGGATTGTAAGCAATTCACCTTTCTTAGCAGGAACTGGCTTAGCCTCAGCTTCTAAAGAGAAAGGGAAGAAAAGAGGTCATATGAGAAGAGTGATGACTGTTATCACTGATAGCTAATTGCAAAACTAAAGCAACACAGTGCATAAACTCGATCTATTGATTAAGCATGTATTGAGGAATGCTGAAACATGAAAATGACCAAATTGAAAAGGACAAAACTCAGCAGTAACATAATAACTTAATCAAAATAAAAGCAGCATTTGGTACTTTAAGCATTTTTACTTGGGTCATTATCACATGGCAGCGAAGCAGCTACATGTCAGCGAATCAGTCGTGATGTGACGTGGGTTGAACATGACTGAATTAATATCAGCACAGTGCTGCGTGTGATGTTTCTACTGTTATACATGTTAGATAATTAAAGGAAAAATAAGACCTGTGAAAGAGGTGAAAAGGTAAAAGGATACCTTTTTTGGGAGTCACTGGCTCAGCTTTCTTCTTCTTAAGAACCTCAGCTTCTAAACAATAGCAACAGAACTTCACATTCAGAAAAATATAGACATGACGTCCGTATAAAGTAGAATTAGTATTAATATTGGTAGATAGTATCTTTATTGGCACCACCTTCACCTTCTCCTTTGTTAGAGTAACATTTTTGTGTGGTGCTTCTGCCTCTGTTACAGAGGCAGAAGCACCACACAAAAATGTGTGAAAATCAAAAGCTTGAACACATTTTTGGCTTAGCTGTAACTCGTTCTAAGTAAAGAAAATTTAAGTTCAGTGTTACAGAGACACAATGAAACTCAATGATAACTGTTTCTTACCTTTCTTGATTGGAACTGGCTTGAGCTTCTGTTTTGAAACCTCAGCTGATGTTAAAAACACAGAACCTCATGTTCAGTATAAAATTCAAATTCTCTTTCATGTTATTAAAAGTCTGACTGTTAAAATCTAGAGTACTGTGCTGTGTTATTTTTGGCACTTTTTGTAGAGCATATGATTTGATTTACAACAGACTAGTAATAAAGTTTCCAGCACCTCTACAGGTCTCCTGGTTGATCAAAAGCAAAGGATTTAGAGATGTTTTGCCAAGTTGTCTGTTATGTGAAGCCACAACGCCTTTTTATTCAATTCAGTTTAATTATTCGTATAGCACCAAATCACAACCACAGATCCGTCAAGGCTCTTTTTAAATTGACTTTTATTAGATTTTGGGCATTGATTTCAACTCCATCATCATATTTACCTTACCTGGTTTTACAGGTGTAGGCTTTACTTTTAGCGTTGGCTCCTTCTTAGGCTCCTTGGGAGCTGCTTCTGGTGGAAAATAAGACATTGATTTCTAAAGATTGTTGCTTATGAATTAAAAATGTATTTAGATTTTTTTAATATCCCACATGAAAGTCTTTAGGCTCATTTGGCATTACATTGTCAGTGTCAGCAAACAAAGTGTGTATTAGCACATGCTTAAACATATTTCTTGAATGACTTGAAAAATCAATGAGACACTATATCGTCAACCATCAGAATACCTTTAACTTACACATTGCAGAGAAAACGAGACAATGTGGTGTCTCATGCCTTACATTAAACAGTATTCCAGCATAGTCTCACCTGCTTTTGTAACATTGAACTGTTCCTTTTTAAGAACAGATGCAACCTCCTTCTTGACAATTTTAATTCCTCTTACAGGCTTTTTGGCATCTGAAGTAAAAAGGAAAAGCTGCTTCAAACATTTTTATCCTCCATAAAACAAATAAAGCCTATAAGTCCATTTCCCTTTTAGGCTCAATGTAGGTTTCCTTCTGTGTGAGTACAGCTAATGCTAATGAAGTTTTCTTACAGGTCCACATCAGTCATCCAAAACAACAATCAAAAACTGTTTTAAAGACCATAAAATGCTGTTTAAAGTCTGACTGTTAAAATCTAGAGTACTGTGCTTCTATTTTTTTTACTTTTTTCTTTGTAGATTTAACTAAAAAAATTAGAACAAATGATTTGTTTTTACACCAGACCATTAATAAAGTTTCCAGCACCTATACAGGTGTTCTGGTTGATCGAAAGCAAAGGATCTAAAGATAATTTGCCAAATTGTCTGATATGTGTAGCCGTAACATTGAGTCAACCCTGGAGTTAAGTTGAGTAAGGTGCCTTTTTATTCATTTCAATGTATTTATTCATATAGCGCCAAATCACAACCACAGTTGTGTCAAAGCTCTTTATATTGTAAGGTAAAGACCCTACAATGATACAGAGAAAACAGAGAAAACCCCAACAATCAGATGACCCCCTATGAGCAAGCACTTTGGTGACAGTGGGAAGGAAAAACCCCCTTTTAACAGGAAGAAACCTCCAGCAGAACCAGGCTCAGGGAGGGGTGGTCATCCCCTTTGACCGGTTGGGGGTGAGGGGAAAAGACACGGGACTTAAAAAAAGTTCCATAATAGTCTGGTTCTTTGGAAGCAAAATATATAGAAATGAGTGGCGGCTTAACACCTTTGCACAGTACTGTAGATAAATAATTAAAATTGAATACAAAATGTTCTCATATATGACTGTTTCTACCTTTTTTGGTTGGTTCTGGTTTAACTCTCTCTTTCAGTGTCAAAGGCACTAACAGAGGGGAAAAAATGTTTGAGTTTGGAAACATTGAGAAAGTATTCTGAACTTAGAAAGTTGGTATAAAAACACACAAGAACAGCTGCTTAAACAAAGAGATGCACCTTTCTTCAGTGGCACCACCTTCACCTTCTCCTTTGTTAGAGTAACATTTTTGTGTGGTGCTTCTGTCAAAGATAAATGAGTATGAAAATCAAAAGCCTGAGTACATTTTATAATTATGATTAACAAAGTTAAGTCTGCTCTTACCTTTAGCTGGGGCTGGTTTTGTCTTAATGGGAGCTGGCTCTAAGTAAAGAAATTTTAGGTTCAGTCTTGCAGAAAATAAGACACTGTGACACAGCATTCATACTGAATTTGTCAATCAAGCATGTATTGAGGAATCCTGAAACATGAAAATGACCAACTTGAAAAGGACAAAACTCAGCAGTAACATAATAATTTAAGCAAAATAAAAGCAGATTATGATACTTTGAGCATTTTTAGTTGGGTCATTATCATGTGTCAGAGAAGCATATCGTCAGCAGCTACATGTCAGCGAATCAGTCGTGATGTGACGTGGGTTGAACATGACTGAATTAATATCAGCACAGTGCTGCGTGTGATGTTTCTACAGC